GCATGCCATCTCACGCAGGAAAGCATGCCATCTCACGCAGGAAAGCATGCCATCTCACGCAGGAAAGCATGCCATCTCACGCAGGAAAGCATGCCGTCTCATGCAGGAAAGCATGCCATCCCACGCAGGAAAGCATGCCGTCTCATGCAGGAAAGCATGCCATCCCACGCAGGAAAGCATGCCGTCTCACGCAGGAAAGCATGCCGTCTCACGCAGGAAAGCATGCCGTCTCACACAGGAAAGCATGCCGTCATCCCCTCTCCTACAGACAAATTTCCTTTACGGTTCTGTGTGTAGCATTCTCAACAACAAAAAGGCTGACATGTCTTGAAGTTTATAGAAATCACAGCATTTTGTAGAAAATCAACTTGGGAAATATTTTGTTTCTTCCTTTTATGAAACATCAAAAATGGAGCTCAGAGCCAGGCCTGATGCCACGCACCTGCGATCCTATCACTGGGGAAGCTGAGACAGGAGGATCACCAGTTCAAGGCCAGCTTTGGCAGGGGATGGTGGAAAGGGGGCCCCTAACTTCTTTAAAAATGATGTGTCTATTTATTTATGCACACGAGTATCTTTTCTACATGTATACATGTACACCACTCATGTGACCAGCACGGGAAGATGCCACATTCACTGTGCATATCTGTACTAGACACTGGGATATAATGACTCAGGTACAATGACCTATGGAAACTGATGTTCAAACTTCAAGCCAACCTACTGAACACCTGTGTCTCTGGGGAAGTGGTAGGGGGAGTACCTGGGATTCTTTTTTAGGTTTGCCCACACATACAGGGTAACATTCTCATCTTGGATGATTTTTTCCATGTTCCCGCTGTCCAGATCTGCTAAGGTACTAGCCTCCTGTAAGAGAAAAACATAGAAGAGCCTCTCACAGTCATACAGCTTAGGATACTCACACACTCACTGGTATACTGGGTTCCTTGTATTATTACAAGAATAATCTGGATAAAAGTAAATTTAAGTCAAAATAGCAAAGAATTTTTCTGGAAAAAAATAATTCAGAGCCCAAGGGGATGGCTCAATGGTTAAAGTGACTGCCATATGTGAGGACCAAAGATGTCTGGTGCCTTCCTATAACGTCAGCCTGGTAAGACAGGGATAGGAATGCTATCCTAGAGGGAGCTGGCTAGCTAGACCAGCCCTACCACTGTAGAGCATCACCAGGTTCTCTGGTTCCCTTTGATGCACTAAGATCTGGCTTATACCATGTCTCTATTTCAAATGTAATATATATTTTGTATATATATAATGTATAACGTAAGATGAAAAGATACTATGTCTGCTTTCTCTTACCCAATCCTTACTCCATTTGTCCTACAATACACACAGTAGATGCAAGAAGGTGACTTGCATGCTACAGCAAGAGTCAGCTCAAATCTATCTGTAGGGCTATTTAAACTTAGACCACATCCCAGCAAGGCTGTCCAAGGACTCTTCTAAATCAAAAGAACCAAAAGACAAAATGCCTGAAACCACTGTATGATTTTGTAGTGTTCTGATGATTCTGTAGTGTAGGTCTGCAGACTGTGTTCTGATGATTCTGTAGTGTAGG